CAGTCGAGGAGGTCCCTAATACCATTACGCTCCTCTCGGCGACTACATTCGTTTCCGAAGTAGACTCCCCCACCCTCTCCCTAATGGTTCCGCTCTTGGCCCGCGGTCTCAACGAGAAGCTCACCGCGACGAAGCGTAAGGTCGCCGTCATCGTCGACAACATGGCGAAGCTCGTCGACTCGCCTGTCACTGTCCGGCCGTTCATCCCCAAGCTCCTGCCGGGTCTGATCAAGGTCGAGACCGCCATGGGTGACCCCGAGGCGCGTAGCGTCGTTGCCCGTGCGATTGCCACCCTCCGTCAGGTTGGTGAGGTCCCGCACGGCGATGGCTCTGATCTCCCCCCTCTCAAGAAGGCGGAGGAGAAGTCCCTCGCGCACTCGCTCATCGGCATCTACAAGAAGGCCGGTGCGAACCCCGTCCCCTCGGTCGCCGATGTCGCTGCCATCTACACTTCGACCCTCGCTGCCAACCTCGTCAACAACAAGAACTTTGACGTCTCGGAGTGGCAGTCGCTTGCTCCCTACCTCGCTTTCCTATCTGCTTCGCCTGAGCCCATCTCCATCGTCAACGAGTGGGTTGTCAAGTCGGCGTCTGCTGATGATGAGGACGACGATGTTCCTGAGGACGAGGAGGAGGGTGAGGACCTGTGCAACTGCCAGTTCTCGCTCGCCTACGGTGCGAAGATCCTTCTCAACACCGCGACCCTCCGTCTCAAGCGCGGTCACCGCTACGGTCTCTGCGGTCGGAACGGTACCGGAAAGTCGACGCTCATGCGTGCGATCACCAACGGGTATGTCTTGCATGTGAAACATTACGTGTGATCGATGCTGAGTGGACTTTCTCATTACAGTCAAGTCGAGGGTTTCCCCTCCCCCGATGAGGTTCGCACGTTCTACGTCGAGCACGATATCGATGGAAGCGAGGCCGAGACTGCTGTTCTCGACTTCATCCTTGCCGACAAGCGTATCCAGGCCACGAAGGAGGAGGTCATCGAGACTCTCGCCTCCGTCGGCTTCTCGGATGAGAGGCAGAAGCACGCCATCGGCAGTCTCTCTGGTGGTTGGAAGATGAAGCTCGCGCTTGCCCGCGCTATGCTCTTCAAGGCTGACATCTTGCTCCTCGATGAGCCTACCAACCACTTGGATGTCGTCAACGTCGCTTGGCTCGAGAACTACCTCACCGGCCTCAAGACTTGCACGTCGATCATCGTCTCGCACGACTCCGGCTTCCTGAACAACGTCATCACGGACGTGCTCCACCTCAACCGCTTCAAGCTCAAGCGCTACCGTGGCAACCTCGAGGACTTCATGAAGGCTGTTCCCGAGGCCCGCTCCTACTACACGCTCGAGGCGCAGGAGGACTACCAGTTTAAGCTCCCCGACCCGCCCCTCCTCGATGGTGTCAAGACCAAGGAGAAGTCTCTCCTCAAGATGCGTAAGGTCGGCTTCCAGTACCCCACGCAGCCCGTCCAGCAGCTCTACGACATCACCCTCCAAGTGTCCCTCTCCTCCCGTGTCGCCGTTCTCGGTCCCAACGGTTCCGGCAAGTCCACGCTCGTCAAGCTCCTCATTGGCGACATGGAGCCGAACAAGGGCGGTGAGATCTGGAAGCACCCCAACTTGGTCATCGGTTACGTTGCTCAGCACGCGTTCCACCACATCGATAACCACCTCGACAAGACCCCGCTCGAGTACATGTTGTGGCGTTACCAGACTGGTGAGGATCTCGAGGAGATGATGAAGGCGAGCCGCCAGATCTCCGAGGAGGAGGAGAAGAAGATGAAGGACGGTTCGATCGTCGTCGTTGAGGGCCAGAAGCGCATCATCGACGAGATCATCACTCGCAAGAAGCTCAAGCAGTCTTACGAGTACGAGGTCTCGTTCAAGAACCTCTCGTCGTCCGAGAACATCTGGCTTCCCCGTGACGACCTCATCAAGCGTGGTTTCGAGAAGGTTGATATCCTTTGCTTCCTCGATCTCAGTTCGCAGATGCTAATTCATTCCCTCGTTAATAGAAAGTTCTCGAGGTTGACACTCGCGAGGCTCAGCGCCTCGGTCTTCTCCGTCCCCTCGTTCGTCGGGAGATCGAGAAGCACTTCGCGGACTTCGGTCTCGAGGCCGAGTTCGTCTCGCACAACTCCATGCGTGGTCTCTCCGGTGGTCAGAAGGTCAAGGTCGTGCTCGGTGCTGCGACGTGGCGCCGCCCGCACATCATCTGCTTGGACGAGCCGACTAACTACCTCGACCGTGAGTCGCTCGCTGCGCTCATCAAGGCCCTGAAGGAGTTCGAGGGTGGTGTGCTCGTCATCACGCACAACCGCGACTTCTCCGAGTCCCTGTGCACTGAGGTCTGGGCCATGCGCGATGGTCACCTCGAGGCTTCCGGCCACAACTGGGTCGAGGGCCAGGGCTCCGGTCCCCGCATCGACAAGAAGGACGGAGAGGAGGAGGACCAGTACGATGCTATGGGCAACAAGATTGAGAAGAACAAGAAGAAGAAGTTGACGTCGGCGGAGGCACGCAAGCTCAAGAAGGAGCGCATGGCACGGAAGAAGCGCGGCGAGGAGGTCACCGACGACGAGCTCTGAGCGTCATGAGCATCGTTCCCCGTCTCCCTCCCTGTTTCGTTATTGTTATCTCACGTGTACTCCTGTCGCTGTGTTCTCTACGGACGTGTCTCGGCTATACCACAACTGCTTCCCTTGTAGTCTTGTATCATCCTAGCATCATGTTTACCTTACGAACTTATGACATTCTTCACCCACACCTTGTCTCCGTCGTGCAGTTTGAACGCCGTCGACGCCGCAGGCCGAGCAACGGCACACAGGCGAAGACCGCCAAGCAGGGAAGACGAACTGCCATCGACTCGCCGAAGCCCCGAGGGCGCAAATGTAAGGTTGAACTTCAACCGTGCACTGCGTATCCTCCGCAGTCATCTGGCTTGTATATCTCTCCGTTCTCGTGCTTGTTGTACTCTACCTGCTTTCTGCTGCGCTCTCTGACGACCTGCCATGCCCTACGTCAACGGATACCCCGAACACAACTTCGCCGTCTTTGCGCGAGACGCGCGGGAGACCCTCACGCCGAACGAGACCCAGCGGAACACACTCATCGTCGCGGGATGCTACATCATCGCGATTGCGATCCTGTGGTGCGTGCTCGTGCTTGGTGGCTGCGGGGTGAGGGAGGGGAAGCTCATGCACTCATGCATCGTGTGCGGTGGACGGGACGGTGCGCAGGCATTTGCCTTATGTATCTGCAATAAGTGAGTCTCTCCATCCGTCCAGACTTGTGCTGGTTCTGACGAGTCTCGATGTCCCGTACCGCACGACTCGTTTGCGACTGCAGTCTATCCGTTCAAGTGAGTCTTGGTTGCGCCGTCCCGAGTCGGAGATGTCGTGGTTGCGGCACTTGTGGACGTAGGGGAGCACGGGCTGACTCTGGTTGTTGGGGGTGAAGGCTATTGACTGTAGGCTTCCATGAGGTGCGTCCCTATTTGCTTCTTATGCTTCGTCAGGATCTGAGCGAGAAGAGCTCATGTCATGCGTGCGGGTGCGGTATAGATGAGCCATGCCTTCGCCGGCGGTGAGTGCCTCCATGTCGCATCCGTCTCGTACGCCCGCAGTGCAAGCACAAGCTGTGGCGGAGGCGGCGAGACGGAGCATTCGGGCTTGAACAGTCCAGTTCAGTGCTGACGAGCCGTGCTCCTGCTTCCCCGATGCACAGTGCTCACATGTGCGCACATACACTCTATCGAACTCGACCGTACGTGCCCCTTCCCATTGCCTTCGCCTCCCCACGCAAGTCGGCACTGAATGTATCCTCTCCCACAGCGGACGAAGGAGGCGCGACGCGGATGTCGGGAGGCATACCGTGGATAACGCTCCCCGCGGGCTACCTTGGCTCGTCGCTCATCGGGGCGGCGCTGATCGCGTGCGGGTTCAACACGAACGCGAGCAAGATCGCGTCCATCTGCATGGCCGTCTTCTTCCTCTTCACGCTCTGGTGGGCGCGCAGGAGCTGGCTGTGAGTGCACCCTGATGAGTGGCTTCAAGCCTTGCTGATCGTGGTGCATATTTCGATTCGTGCAGAACATGGCTGCTCATCCTGGGCATGTCCGGCCTCATCGTGCTCTTCTGGTTCGTCGGCGGCGGCATCGCGCTGCGGTACTTTGTAAGTCGGCCTCCGCGCTACCTCCGCCCGCGCCCGTGCTGCTCATGTTAACCTGGCACCCCCCGCCCGCAGGTCCTGTTCATCGGCGTCATGTCCGACATGTACGTCCTGTGGGACGTTGTCGGTGAGTGCCTTGCTCCGTCGCTTGCCCTCGCAGACACCGCGCTCACACAGCTCGCCCTGCAGACGACACGATAGCACGAAAAGTGAACGGCTCTGACGCGTCGTCCTTTGCGGAGATCTGCGGCTGCTGTCCCTCACAAGGTACGGTCCACTCCGCCTCACCCTCTCGCACTCAGTACTCGGCACTCGGCACTGACGTCGCGCATATGCTGCAGTGTGGGGCGTCATCTGGCTCATCCAAGCCTTCGTCTTCTTCGCCGCCGGCGTGCTCATCGGCATCGTCGCGTTCAAGGTACACCCTGCCGGCTCCTCTGCATGAGCCAACTCCCGGAGCTGACCAACCCCCCTTTTTGATTCCAAACAGCAATCCGCCGAGCAGCAGAAGGAAGACGCGAGCAACTTCCTCCCCGTACCGGGCTCGTCGAGCGGCGCGCTCGCGCTCCTGCCCTCGACGCTCGCGACGACGCTTGCGTGCGTGGCTGTTACGAGCGCTGTGTTACTGCGCCGTTGGTAGACAACTTCTCCTGTTGTATAGACAGAGTGTACGTGTGGAATGATGGCTGCCTCCTAACGCACATAAGGCCAAGGAGGCACCATGAACGCTGCCTGCCAGACCAGGATGTGGTGCGTTGGGGAAGTATGTAAGTTTAATATTCTTCTGTCGGGCTGCTTGATCACAGGACAAAAACGACATAGTAAGACTGGAGGCGCTACCAGGGCTCGAACCTGGGTTTTGGGAACACTTTTTGGAACACCACATCAGAATCCCAAGTGATAACCACTACACTATAGCGCCATTACGGACCGTTCTCACACCGCAACCCATGTTTCCAGAGCTTGGCCCGTATGAAACCTTGAAGCAACCGCACTAGTACTGTATGTATGTACATAGTTGGTATGAACTGATAGGGGACAGTATATCATCTAGGGAGATGCAGCATCATAAACCGTCATAAGCACGTTGTCAGGGGACTCAGATTGTGGTAACTACGCTCAGGCTGCTAGGACCACCTCAAGCCTCCAGCACCTCAGGCTTCTCCCCAGTCTGTCTCCCATCCTCCGTGTCCTGCACATCGCCCATCCCCCACTTCTTGTCCACCTCGCCGCCCATCCGTACGTCCTTCATGAAGAGCGACGAGAGCAAGCCAACGCCCGCAACTCCGATCATGACCTTCCAGATCACCGCGATGCTGCCCGCGAACGCCGTCCGCACCTCACTCTTCAGTGGCTCGTCGAGGCGCGCAATAACTGGGATCGCCGAGTACGCGATCGCCGCGCCCGACGCGCCGCCGGGGAAGAGCGCGCCGAACTCGTGAGGGAGGCGCGCATTGAGCTCGTTCTGCAGGATCGTGCCGCTGATCGTCACGCCCCACACCTATTACCCCATGTATGCGAATACGAGGCCTGAGCGGACGTCACAATCAATATGGGGACGACTCACCCCAGCAAAGAGCCGACAGAAGGCAAAGAACGCGAGCGCGTGCGCGTTCTCCTCGACCGGTAGCGGGGCGAGGACAGGGAAGTACGTGACGGCGTAACCGATGCCCGTGCCGACGCTGACGAGCACAGAGAGGCCGATCGCGCGCGCGAGGGGGGAGGCTGCGTTGACGGTGGACAAGAGGCCCATGGCGAGCATGAGGGACGCCCAGCCGAGGTAGCATTGAGTGCGGTACCGGCTGAGCTTGGTCACGCTGATGCTCGTGAAGATCACGGCGGGCCCGAAGGTGGCGGAGAGCGCGAGGAGATCGACGCCAGAGCCGAGCGGTGAAGCGCCTTTGCATGCTTGGAAGTACGTTGGGAGGTAGTCTGCATGATGAAAGGATGAGTTCGAAGCCACGGTAGTGGCAGAAGTGGTGGCGACTTACACACGACTGAGAGCATGATGACGGGAAAAATGAAGGTCTGAATATAGCTGTGGGGTGCACCTCAGTATCGAGTGGAGCTATGCAGAGTGATCGACGAGTTTCCTACCCGCTCAAGCTCGTGCGATTTGACAACAGCAAGAAGGGCACCTGTAGTGTCGATGAGTATAGGGGAAAGGATGGGCGCAAGATCGCAGCACTGACCATGGGGTACTTTGCAAAGCGCGCCTCATAGACTAGGAACACACCCATTCCGCCGAGGCCGACGAGCAGCGGTACTAGCACTCGCGCAGACGACCACGGGTAGATGACCCCACCCCACGTCAACGCGAGGATGCACGAGCTCGTGCTCGCTATGAAGATGAAGTTGCCACTGCGATAAAATATATCAGAACCATGGACCAGCGAGGCCGTATCGAAGCACGTACATTGCATCAATTCGTCCGAGTTTCTCCATGATCGTCCCGGGCGGGGTCTTGAGCTTGAGCAGCACTGCGACGAGCACGAAGGCGATGCCAACGACAGGAAGGTTCATGTCTGCGTGACGCCGCAAAGCAGTCAAATTCAATGACAGTCACTGAATGGATCAGCATAGAGAAAGCACGTACAGAACAGCCAGCGCCATTGGCCGCTCGTCGAGACGGCACCCCCGAGCAGCGGACCCAAGGCAGCCGCCAATGCCCAAACCCTATCGCATCACCGTCAACTAAGATGACCATATGCGAGCTGCGCGAGGTACTCACAGTCCTAGCATGCCGTTCACGGACCCGCGATCCTTGAGCGGCACCAGGTCTGAGATGACGATTGTCGTGAGGGAGACGATGCAGCCTCCGCCCATGCCCTGGATGGCTGGCAAAACGTTCGTGAGTCCCGACGACGAATGGAACACGATGCAGATGCACGGGAGCAAGGACATACTGCGGCCTCCGATGAGCATCGGTATGTTCTGGGCAGCGCCGCACAGGGCACTTCCGAGCCCAAAGAGGAAAAGCGCGATGAGCATGGCGAGGCGGCGGCCAAACATCTGCACGCACACGGGCAAACCGCTGAGTGACACTTTGCTTGGTACGGGAGAGGCAGCGAGCACGCACCTCCGCTAGAGCGCCGCTCATGGGCAGTATAGCCGTGGCAGCGAGGGTGTACGCGGAAGAGATCCAGATAAAGTCCTGCCCGTCGAGGTCCTGGAGTATGGTAGGCAGCGCGGTCGACACCGAGGTCTGTCGGAGACGGCAAAGAAAGTGTCAGGATTTGCGGCCGCGACAACCGGCTTCGACGCAGTCAAAACGCACCAGTTCGAGCGGAGGCAAGAACAGCGCAAAAGCCAGCGCAGCGAAGATCGCATACAGCCTCGCATCCTTCCGAGGAGCTACTGAGGGGAGTACAGAGACAGCGACTGCCGCATCGAGCGTGCTCTGCGATGTGTCGGACGTCTTGCGGTCCGCGAGCAGGGTCGTGTCGTCCTCGCTTGGACTGACTGGGCTGGCGTCGGGCGTGCCGGACATAGGATAAGTAGTTTAGGATAGAGACGGAAGTCGCAGCTGCGATGCTGCAATGTCAGTTGATGTCAGTGTCAGTGGGATGAGGGTGCTCAGTGACGATGTTTATGCGTAGGGGCGGTGAAAGAGTGCAGAGGCCAGCAGGCCACAGTATATATGCATTCGGTGCGGCGCCCACGATGCCGCAAATGAGACAACCAAACGATAACAGCACATGGGGGAAAGAAGCACGGGGCGCGGGAGCAAACCACATCGGTGAACAAGGAAGGACACAGGGCATGCACTCACTCGTAGTGCAACACGAGTCACTGCGATTGAGGGGCCCGGTAGGGAGCGGAACGTGAACGAAGTGTTGGGTGGGAGGCTGGGAACCTAAGGGCGAGCCGCCCTAGGAGTATGGAAGGCTTCCTGTGGGGACTCCTGTTTCCGTTCGTGACGAAATGACAAGAAACAAAGACAGGTCAAAGAGAGGTGACGACTCAATAGGCACTCTGCCCACCTTGAGCCCCAGGAGACTACGTCCAACGTGAAATCGGGGTGTCCCATATAGTACAGATGGAAGTTCTTCATCCAGACAGACCGTGAACCGAGGCATGGGGCAGAGCCCACGCTGACTCTCACAGACGATCTACTGGTACCTACAAAACTGGGAACGATCAGGCAAAGTTACAGCAGCATGCATGCATTCCACCCCTCGCTCTACTCACCTGTGTAAACCGTAGGAACGCCGCTCGCGGTAGGCGGCGAAGAAGACTGATACATGTTGATAGGCCGGCGCTCCGGAGGGGTCTGTGCGCCCATGTGGTTTGGTGAGGACAGCCATCAACATGCCGCATTGACCACCGAAAGGATTGAGAGTACGAATTTGCACATAGACTGTCGACCACGTCGAGCAGATCATACTCATCTCGGATCACCATCTTCTCTTTGTAGTCCGGGATACGAAGAACGACTTCAGTGCATGTCTCGTAGTGCTGACGGGATGCTCCCCTGACTATGCTGAGTGAAGTCCCGTCCTCGAGCGCCTTCCGAAGTCGGTCCCTGTAGTGTTACAAGCTGGATAGACAAGCCGTTTGGACAGGTGGCTTGGGGCATCCGATCTGTGACTTGGTATAGCTGTCCAAACGTAAGGTTCGGGTGAACGAGGGTACCGGGCTGAAAAGCTGCGAACGAGTCTTGCTGTCTGGCGGCTTCAACACGTTGTCCAGGCCAAAATTTGTTCATGATGTAGGCCTACTAGTAGCCTTCTCCCATATCAACTCGTGTCTTGACAGAGGAGAACCGCTACTCACTTCTTGAAGTTGTGTCCCGGCGGCCAGGCTGTTCTTTGCTATCTTGCGATGTGGTACAGAGCGATTCGCCAGCCACAGGCTTTAATATTTAGTACTTGGCAGGGCCAGGCAGACGACTTCGAGGTCCCAAGATCGTACCGACGAATTGCCTGTCGACGGAGAGGCGAATGCTGGATCGTCAGCCAAGGCGAGAAACCAAGAGTCGCATATGCAAGAGGTCTCAGGCTCGAGGGGACAGAACACGAGATGCTTGCCAGGCAGGCAGGCTCACCGTGACTGAAATGCGGATCGTAAGTGGGCTACTCAGTACTCAGTAAGTACTAGCTAGACTTACCTGGTACTTACTTATCAAGGAACGACGCGTCGCGTCGACGCCTTTGTGGCGTGGGAAATACGGCCGATGTTGCACCTCGCGGGTCCATCGACATCTCTTGCCCTTACCACGACCATCCCTCGCCATGTCCACCGAGACGCACCCGCTTCAGAAGACGTTTCCTTCAGGGGACACCAGCAAATTACGCAGCAAGGACGGCTGGTGCAGAAACTGCGACAGGACCTGGCATGGGGACGGAGAGAAGTTCCGTGTCTGCAAGGGTTGCAAGGTTGCTCTCTACTGCAGCGAGGCCTGCCAGCGCGCCCAATGGCCTTCGCACAAGTACGTCCTTCTTCTCCGGCGCCGTCTTGACCAGAATGTTGACGCGGTCTCCAGGCCTCTGTGTAAGCTCCAGCGTGAAGAACAGGAGTGGCGCGCGAACTGCCCCGAGCTAGAGGCGCGCATCCTAGACATGCCCAGCATCGTCGAGATGCAGGCGTTCATGCGCGACTTCACTGAAGTCCATCGACATTCGTTCGAGAATATCTGCCAAGCCAAGTTGACCATCAACGGCGGCGTCCAGGCCTTCCTCTCCTCCCGTACACCACAGCTTTGCGTCGTCCTGCTGGACTATCGTCACTGGCGTCCTCTCGAGCCCGACGAACTCGTAAACCCCGCTCTAACCTTCACGTTCACCAACATGGTCTTCCTTCCTCTCGAGCGCGTGCTCAACGAGCCCAAGAAGGTGCGCCTGCGCGAGGCCTGGGAGGCCTCTGCGATTATCCGGGACCGCATGCGGGCACAAGGCGCGCACGACCCGAACTTCGTCGACG